ACAGTCAGTAGTTGAGTAGTTTACAGCTGTCATAATTGAGGCAGTGTGGGTCTCCTGACCCAAGGCAGGTCTAAAATCTGAATTATAATGAACTTCAAATGGTTTGAACCAGCTTCCTAAAAAAGTTTAATTCAGATTTCTTCAAGGTTTGTTTCCCTATGAATGTGAATATTCATTGCCTGTGTTATGTATGAACTGCTGTTGTGCTCTGAAGTTGCTAAAGAACTCTAGAAAGCAATGATTGGATGTCAGTGGTGTTGGAGAAGCAAGTTCTTGTGTTTGTAGCAGTGAGGCCAGGTCTGCAGCAGTTGCTGGTTCTCCCTCCTCAGCTAGAGTGCAAGTGGAAGGAGGTAGGTGGTGTATATGATACAGTTGTGCTAAACAAATTCCTTGGGTCCCAATTCCAAATGGTCTTTCACCATACTTTGTGTCAGTCGGTATAGTTAAAGCTTGTCTTGATGTTGCATTTTTGTGTCTTCATCTCTTGTGAGGAAACCTAAAAATATTCAGCCAGACTCTTCAAGTTTTTCCTTTGCTTTCCTAAGTCTTGGGGAAGCCACTGTTTGTGGGCTATGTAAAAAAGTTTGCCACATTCCTTCAAGCCAGTAGAATTAAGACCCTTTTCTCACTGAGAGGTAAACAGATGCCTGCAGAAACAGAAAGCCTGTTGCGTGTCATCTGGTACTTATCTGCCCTGGAGGAATTCAGGCTCCACGCCTCCTTCTTCACAACCCAGAAGAGGGGAAACACCCTGTGGTCAAATCTGAACATTCTTATAACTGTTTTTAACTGAATATTTAAACAACACACCAGTGCTGAAGTGTTGACAGAATAGGGAAAAAAAATTTGGTTCCAGCAGTAATTCCATGCTTCACGGTTGTGAAGTTGCTCAAAACAAGTGAAGCCCATTTTTTTCTTAACAGTCAAATATTTGAAGAAACAGGAGACACTGTGAGTAGAGGATGAATTCTAGGGAACCCAGGTGGTCTGCGGTGTTAATATTGGGCTTTTCTTGCAGCTAGTTTCTGTCAGTGGGGTAAACTTCTGAAAAAACTCAGGTTTAACTAGCTGCGTGCCAGGAATTACTTTCACTTGATATATACAACCTCTCCTTAAATTCTTACTTTTTAAAGAATGTTAAGAGCACTGACTATTTTCATACAAAGAGGTTTGTTGCATTTGGTACAAAGGATCTTCGAACCTACTAGGTAAGATACAGGACCAAGACTACAATAAAACTAAACCTATTTGTTGGCTTTTGTTTGCTTGTTAATCGTTTCCATTTATTTTCAAAACGCTACCTTTTAAAAAGCACGAAGAAATCTTTAGCAGTTACTTCCTAAGGTAGATTGGCACCACCGCTCGAAGCCAGTGAATACTGACAGAACTCATCTTAAAAATCAGTATTAGACAAACGCCAACAAAGAACCCCACTGTCAATTCTGGTGACCTGTTTGGGGAGACATGCCTGACCCATGACCTTTGTCTCATGTTTCCCTCCAACACACAAGCATTGGTGAAGTGTTTCTACTTAGATGTTTTAGGCAGCACTTATGAATCCTAACTTGTGAGAACAACCCTTCAATAAAAACAAAAGGGGCAGAGGCAGGAGTCCAGGCTATTTGGTTAAACATTTTTTCAACAAATTAGTTCAGAAAAGTTGAAATGTTTTGTTATAAAACTGAATCGAACACAGCCTGAATGTTAGGTATATGTTCTGTGTAGTTTGAGCCATCACAGATGTTTATTACGAGTGCTCTAAGCCCATGAGGAAGCCTTCACTTAATGGAGGTCACTAGGCAGAATTCCCCTTTAATATAGATAGGAGAATTCTTTATCAGAGATTTAGGACACCGTTTTGCTAACTGGTTAAAAAAAAAAAAACATGTAAATATGTAAGAATGTTTATTTGTTGCACATAACTTTTGGTATAAAATAAATGTAGAGTTACCTGTGGAAGCTGTGTGCCGTCATTTTTATACTGCAGGACTACATTTTTACAAAGATGCTCACATGAAGACGCTAGATTCAATAGGCACCTATCGTACACATCAAGCCCATGCTGCGCCCCATCCCTCCAGGATTATGGACCAAATATGTCTCCAGTCATGTGTAACCCATAGAACGTAGATTTTTGGGGATTCCTTTTGGTTTGTGATGTATGTGTCTGTCAAGAATCAGTGACAAAAGAATACTTAAGACTTTTAGCAGGTGTTTTTCCACAGCTTCCTCTAGCTTGCCTTCAGCACGTCATTCTTACTCCTCTAAAGAGGTGATGTCTACAGGAAAGGTGAAGCCACTCAAAACAGAGCTTAGGCAGACCTTGCCAAACACAGCAAATGGGTTGTGCTGGAACCTCAGGACCTACCTACAAAATGGACTTCACCCATAATCTGCAGAATATTCACATGTGCCATTTGTCAAATGAAGAACTTTATGTATTTTCTGACATTAAACTAGGACACAGCTTGTTGGTTACTTCAAAGAACTTAAATGGTAACATGGAATGGAACCCTCAGAATTCCTATTTGCTGACTGCACTTTTTTTGGGGGGGCAGTAATGGGGCTTGAACTCAGGGCCTCATGCTTGCTAGGCAAATGCTCTACCATTTGAGCCACTCCGCCAGTCCTTTGTACTTTATTTTTCAGATAGGGTCTCATGTTTTTCGCCCAGGCTGGCTTAGACTGTGATCTTCCTGATTCTCCCAATCTCTGCCTTCCAAGAGTAGCTGGGGCCACAGGTTTGCACCACCATGCCTGGCTTATTTTTAAAAGTGGTTTGAAGAAACCTAGTTAGAGTAGGCTAAATTATCTCTAATTTTTCATAGAACTTGGAAAGGAAGACTAAAAGGGGATGAGTGTTGACATTTCAATCAGGCACAACAGAAGTGGTTAGGCTACGTGTCCAGAACTGTACTGGTCACTGTCTTCCATTTGGCTGGCCACCAAAAGGAGTATTTTTTTTAAAACAAATGGCTTGATGGATTGTCAAATCTCAGGACCATTCAGTGGAGCCTATGGAAGGGGGAGGGGGAAGCTCAACTTCGCAGAGTTTCGCTGTCAGTTGCGAAGGCACGGAGTGCTCACTCACAGACCCAACTTGCTTAGAGGTATGTCACGTTGCGTGATATCAGCTGTGATAGAACCCACAGGCTACTATAATATCATCAAGACTACAGGTGAGATTGGGACAACGTCCCAGGAGACCGGTTACCTCAGAGCTCCAAGTCAGGTAGTCATCAATGCTTAAACCTTTCTTTTTTGTCCTAACTATGGAGTTTGTGGCATCAACCTTGTGAGTGACAGTGACACGACAGCACTTCTATAAGTATGTCAGTACCTGTGAGACTATGGCAATGAAAGTCTTTCTGAGTCAAGGCTGGCCTGCTTTCATACCAGAGCGCAGTGCTGGGGCCATGGTAGGTCTGCAAACAGCCTGGTGTGGGTGCTAGGGCACCAGGTTCTCAGGTCTGCATACAGCTCAGGCTTTGGAAGCAGCCTGGCACACAAAAGAGAGTCCATGTGTTTTCCACCAGGACAAGCATTCTGTTTAAGGCATGCCAACTCTTTATTCCCATACCAGAAAAGCCGTATTATCACCTTTGGCACCCCCCTTCTGGGAGATTACCACAAAATCCAGACCAGAAGCCTTCTGGTACCATGGACAGCCCAGGAGGCATGTACTCTGTTTGGGGCAGCCAGCGTCCCTTCCTTGGGGAGGAGGGAGGAGAGGTGTAGTCAGCAGGGGTGATTCTGGCTTTAAAAAATTAACCTCCTGTTTCCAAAATACTGTGAGTTCACCACCGGGCCAAGCTACCTGGTCTGGTTGGCAAGCCTCCAGTACCGCTCCCGCAGGAGAAACGCGGCACTTTTGGGTTGTCTCTGCCGGGTGAAGATTCCTTTTCTGTTCCCAATGGCTCTCGAGGGTGCTGAAAAACAAGCCAAGAATACTGCACTGACTTCTGATGACAGCCTGGAGCCCAGGGAGCCACACTGGGCATGGAGTGACAACACTGTCCTCACAAGGCAGGGCTGGTTGGTCTAAAGTAATATAGGCCAAAGTTCAAAACAGTTCAGATTCCTGGTGTATTAATTTCTAGTCTGTTGGAGGAGAAAATCAAAGTACTTTATCTTACACTTGCAAAATAAGGGTTAATGTAACTTAAAAGTAGTAGTCATATAACTATAATTATTAATATAACAATATTTTATGAGTTGTCAGCTGTCTGATAACAGGTGGTGGGACAGTCACCCTTGGCAAGGCTTGGGCCTCCTACTGGGAGCTAGCATGCTAACGGTGCCTACTGCCTACAGGAACTCTTAAGTGGATTTAAGTCCTCCAGAGCTGACGTCCTGCTTGGCTCCCTCTACTGGTGACTGGTCTGCCAGGTGATGGCTGGGAAGCTGGCACCTGGCAAAGGGGCTTTTTTTTCTTTTCTTTTTTTTTCGGGGGCTTATTACTGAGGCTTGAACTCAGAGCCTCCCACTTGCTAGGTAGGCGCTCTACCACTTGAGCCATACCACCGCCCCTGAGCTGCACTTTTGATAGACTTGCCCTCTGCCCTCTGGAGACACTGCAGCCCAATGGAAAGGAGCACTTTCCCACTAGAAGTTTCAAGACAGTAATTTTCATCAGCCGGGTGTGATGGTACACAGCTGTAGTTCCAGCTACTCAGGAGTCTGAGGCAGGAAAATCACTTGGGCCCAGAAGTTTGAGGCTGGCATGGGCAACGTAGCAAGAACCCACCTCAAAACCAAACAAAACCAGGACAATAGTCGCTTCCACGATAGACAAATATCTGGCTGTATTCCATTTCAAATGGAATCCTACGAGGTGACTGGCCTTTTTTCCACCTTACAGGTTCATGAAGAACAGCCAGCTGACTTGCCAGAAGTCACAGGGCTTATTTCTCACTATACACTGGCACCAGGCCACCTCACTGCCTTCCACAGTATTTCCAGAAGCCATAATCCGTGTGCTGAGCAGAGTAGAGGTTCCTGTTCTCATCCTTTCTCCCTTTTCTCTTGTCACCTCATCTCATTCTCCTTTATCCCCTTTGCATTCAATATCTTAGTTAACCTTGAGTCTTTCGAAGATCTGTCCTCCCCATAAGTCACGTAATTTCCTCCACTACCATGTCCTTCTCCCCCACAAACTGCTCTCGTAAGTTTATGGTAAGTCAAGAAACTAGAAATAAGAGGTGTAGGAAGAACTGCAGCACTCACTTGGGAAGGTGACAAGTGGCTCTCCCCCTCTTGAGAAAGTGTGGCTGCTTTCTCTTTGAAGACTTACACATTCCCACATGCAAGGAGCTTTAAATTGACCTGCATTGGGTGAGCCTTTTTTATTAAAATCAGTGATATGTAGACTGAATCATCTTGGCTTTGTACCCTACTCTACAGTAATGGGTGTATCCCAAAAGTACATCCAGTCTCAGGGCCTCTTTTACTCCTGGAAAGACCAGAGCAAGCTTGCTACTGTTGCTTCAAAGTAGGAGACTCCACACTGAAGATACTGAGTTCAAAATCAGCCTGGGCTACCAAATCAAACCAGGCTAATGGAGAGGCTCAAGTGGCAGAGCACCTGCCTAGCAATCTTGAGGCCCTGAGTTCAAACCCCAGTGCTGCCAAGGAAAAAGGAAAAAAAAAAAAAAAAAGCCAAACCCTCACTTACACTGGTTAGTCATGAAATCGGCAAAATTCCAGATGAGCTCTCCGACCACATATTCTTTGCGCTTCTGATCCAGAACCAAATGGTACTGCTCAAGCAGACTCTTCTGGTACTCCTCACTGAACATCAGAGGTGGGTCCTGCACTCGGCAAAGGGAAGTTGAGAGTCAGAGCTGGCAGAACTGTAAATGTTAGATAAAAATAGAGATCCACTTGACGGTGACCAAAATATCTGTCCTCATGGTGGGCTGTAGGACTCACTGGGGTAGAGACAGATCTGACGTAACCCAGAGTAAAAAAAGATTACTTCAAAAAAGGCTTAATTAGTTACTGCTTTAGTTACAAACATAATTTGCTATTTATCTTACTTGCCCATTTCTATCCAGTCTTAAAGTACACTGGAAGTAAAAATATGTCTTTGCCTCAGGTTTTTTTGTTTTGTTTTTGGAGTTTTTTGGGGTTTTTTTTTCTGGTTTTTTGAGACAGTCTCACTGTATAGATGGCTTCAAACTCAAGATCCTCCTGCCTCAGCCTCACGAATATGGATTTACAGGTATGTACCACCGCACTGGGCTTTGCTTCAAGTTTTTGTTTTTCTGTGGTACTGAGGATGGAGCCTAGGGCCTCATGCACGTCACCCAAGTGCTCGACCACTGAGCCACACTTGCCTTGAGTTTTAGTAGCTGCCAGTGGGAAGTGGCATGACTTGAGCATAACCCACCTTAGATACACCTGCAGCTGGTCTGGGCAAGCCCCTGCTGCTAAGTACATTTAACCATCTGCCAGTTCACCTAGTTCCTGCTTATGACACTGGAGGCAAGTGTCACTGCCGTCAAGAGATTTACAATCTAAGGCACAAGCTGCAAGTGAGAGGGGTGACCATGGAGCCTGCAAAGGAGGAGCTGGGGACAGCAAGCAACAGATGTGACAGACAGCACCACCAGGAGCCCCCGAGAGAAGCAGCTGAGCTGAGCCCTGCCAGGTGACAAGAAGGATGTCTACACAACAGGTTACAAGATGGCTGCCTACAACAGGTGACAAGGAGACTGTCTACATCAACAGGAGACAATAAGGCCATTTAAATAACATACAACAAGAAGGCTGTCTACAACAGCTGAAGGCTGCGTCTATGGACTTAGTTGATATTTAGTGAAGCACACGTGTGATTGACAATGAGAAGATGCTGAAGGGACACAGTCCAAGTCTCTGTCTCATAGGAAATTTTTGGAGGCTCAGGTCATATAAGTTCGACGATGTGACATTTGAGTCATTTTAGGCTGTGCTGCTGGCTTTAACTCTTCCAATGAGAAAGTCTAAAACACCACTGAAAATGCACAGGATATACAGCTGCACAGTAGGTTTTGTTCTGGTTCTAAAGCTAAATTTGAGGCAGGGCAGATGTACATTGTCTCACATAAACACAGCTGCTCTAATACAGTACCCACAAGTCACATGTGGCTGCTTAAATTTAAATAATGCTTAGTCAATCTAGTCCAGTAGCCAGTCTTCAGTAGCCAGAGGTTGCTGTCATTCTGGATGGACAGAGAACATTTCCATCATTGCAAAGGACCTATTGGCACCACCCACTCTGAGAGTTTCTTAAATATTCAGTTGGGTCAGGTGCTTGGGAGGCTAAGGCAAGAATATGGTGAGTTTGAGGCCACCCTGGCCTCCATAGCAAAACCCTGTCTCAAAAAAAAAAAAAAAAAAACGAGCTTGGAGGGGCTGCAGTTCAGTGGTAGAGCGCGTGCCTAGCATGCACAGGCCCTGGGTTCCACCCCCAGCACCACAAAAAATAAATTAAAAAGGACAAAACCAAGCAGGCAAAGTAGCATATCCTTGTGAGAAAATGGACAAGAAAACAAAGATAGTGATTTCAGGCTAGAGGTGTGGCTCAAGTGGTACAGCGTCTGCCTAGCAAGCATGAAACCCTGAGTTCAAGCCCCAGTACTGCCAAAGAAAATCTTATACAAAATTTCCACTCATTCCCTCAGTAAATCTAACAGGTGGGGCAAACCTCCCCCCAAAAAGGGACCAATAAAGCTGACACTTGAGCAGGAATCTTCCAGTGGACCATTGTGCCACTAACATGGCATGCCAGGCAGAAGCAGTTCGAGCAAGAGGAGCACAGGAGCTCTGGGGGACAGATGGGTGGTGGGGAGAAGGGATGAAAACAGGAAAGAGAGCTAGCAAAGGATACTGGGTGTCTTGACTGGGGCTTAGGGCTTTGTCCTGTGGACCAGGGAAAACCAATGACGGGACTCCTAAAGTTTGAATTTGTTAAAATTAGAGATAAGGGCAAAATAGTTTCTGCTGGGTATTGAGGGGGTTGGGGGGGAGAGGGAGGGGATGGAGTGGGTGGTAAGGGAGGGGGTGGGGGCAGGGGAGAGAAATGACCCAAGCCTTGTATGCACATATGAATAATA